ATCAATAATGCTTAAAAATATTCATTTTATTCAAAAATTTATTTTAGCCATAAGTTATAGACCCCTTGGTTAACAATAATTATGATTAGTTACACTCATTATCTTTCCAGTTATTGCGATACTTTGCGTATAACCATTGATTGCGTTCATCATGGCAAATCAGGTTATTGGTATAGATTACGTGCGTGGTTTGATTCAACAAAAACTTACCAAACACAGTCTCATCAAGGTAATCAAAGTCACTGTACTCCAAATACAGATTAACTTTGTCATTGACCATCTCAAATGAACTAGGTTTTAGAATCTGTTGATTTAAATCACCCTGCTCAATGCGTATATCCAGCGCTTTACGGCCACCGCCACCACGTGGGCCCACATTAAACGCATGCGCATCGATAGTCTCTAATTGCACGCCCGTTAGGGTTAGCACATGCAGTCTGGCGGCGTCATAAAAAGCATTTTTACCAATACGCTTTAATGGAGTGCCCGAAAATATTATTGATTCCAGGTGAGTCACCGACTGGAAAGCACCATCGGGAATCGCGGTCAATTCACTGCTTGACATGTAGAATGTTTTTAAACTTTTTGTAGCCCGTATAGCTTTAAACAGGCCATAATCTGCTTGGTTATTTTGGTCATTAACATCGCTAATTGCTGACTTAGCAATAGACAGGCCCTTAACACCGGTGCTGGCAAAAGCGTCCTGATGAATGTTTGCTAATTTACCCATATCTAGGTCTATTTGGTCAATTTTGAGCTGACCAAATACATTGGCTTCTAATGTGTCCACGTTGGAGTGCAAAAACAACTGGTACAATTCTGTATCATTTTGTAGCGCATTGCTTAAGCGTTTAAATAAATCACCAAGTGGTTCGGTTATATTGTAGCATGATAATTGAGTACCACCCGGGCTAACGGTGCTACAAGAACATGGGCGAAGTCGGTCATCGGTCGGGCAATTTGACAGTTTTGCACATGATACATCGCTGACTAGATATGCCACCACCAATGTTACAAAAACTAGTTTGTTTTGACCTGTGTAAAAAATTATTTAGTTATCTGTATTAGAAATAGGTGAATTTTTGTTATTAATTTACCCATTTCGGTGATCAATATAAATCAATTTTAATGTAGTTGTTAAGTAAGATTTTACTTTGCTTTATACATTATTTGTAAAACATCTTCCACTTTATATACCAAAAAATTTTGCAAAATAAACTCGGTATTTCTGATTCAAGTTGAAATTAATTTCACACTAACATGTAAGATACTTGGGATAATCATACTATGTTTTTAGGTTTATTTAACAAGATAAATGTAATCTCATTATTATGAATTACTAAATCTACTTATATTAGTATATTTCAAGTGTCTTAGACAATTACAATTGTTAGAAGTTATTTGTGTCAATAAAGAATTTTGTCCTTGTTTATTAATATACTGTAGATCAAATTAAAAGTACATTCATGGGTTAGTTAAGAACAATTGTCCTTATTATCATGATATGGTGTTAATTATTATATTTTGTGTCAAATTTTGTGTTACAATTTCTTGCAAAAATTGATATATTGAACATTGTACATGTTGAACTATAACAAGTTTAATATTGTTTAAATTGTATAATAATGGAGCCCATTAAATATAATAATATTTAATATGTTACACAAAAATGTTACACAAAACACAAACTGTATTGCTTGCTTGATCATGATTATATTTAATATTAACGTCATGAAGTTTAATTATCTATTGTATTTATAATCTGTCAAATATTTTCCAATTAGATATAAAGTTCAATTACGTCTTCAAACATGTCTCAATAAGTTGTAATAAATACAAAGGTAATTTTAGGACAATGTA